CCTGTTCCTACTGCAATGCTGGAATAAACATGTGTCCGTACTGGGAGAACGTCAGTGGCTAAACATGAAGGTTAGAGTAATTATCATTTGTCAAATCTTATCACCATTTTGCACCACACAACAAGTGACATCTTAGACCAGCTCCCATTAACAGAAGCCTCCACTGAGAGGAAACCTGTTTAAGTGTCATAACCAAATGCCAGCAAAGATGGTGGCATTATCATCAGATAAATCACATATGTCTGTTATGCGCTTGTCAAATGGCAAGGGAACAGCCTGTCCTGAAGGGTATCAGAGAGGTGATAAGAATACATAACTATGGCTGCGTGAGGACACACAATTCCATATGATATTTATAAAGGTGGTCTACAGGTCGAAATGATGGATGGGACAAACCAATACTTATAAATTAAAAATTAGTATCTGCTTGCTCAAAACTCGGACACTATGCCCATGTGTAAATGTCAGTGCAAAGTGACAGTGGGAGAAAATAGGAGAGGAGAACTTGGTCAAATCCTCTGAAAACAAAAACAAAAACGAGGGGATTCACAGCTCAAGACATACATCGGGTTCCACACAGTATTGATTTCTTCCTTCACTTTACTTGAAAGTGAAAATGCACATTAATTTATGGAAGAATAAATTTGGTTTGGAAAATTTTTAGTTTCTATTTTTCAAGGGTCAGACATCAAAGTCAAGTGGTTTAAAAGGTGGCAGGCAATTTTAATCCAAAGCAAGAACCATGCAAAGATATGTAATATTTAAAGGAAAATCTTGAAAAAGAAATGTAGAAGCTAACAGAAAACAGATTAAACGCAACAATTCTCAAGCCTCCACGCAATAGGCATATAGAAATTATGTAAAAAGGAGCTTCATCCAAAATTCACTGGCTTAAAAATATGGTTGTTGCTCTTAAATCATCATTGCTGGAATGAAAGCAAATGTACCGCAGGAAATGAGCAATACTATGGTGTTATGCACATACATTACAGCAAAGTAAAGCCCCAAACAAAAGAAGATGTGGATGCAGTCTAGTTGTTTGTGGCTTTGGAGTGTGTTATCATATACAAACAATTACACAGACAAATACAGATGCTGTACAGGTACAGCCCCATGCTTTCTTGTCTCAGTAGGTATGCAGAAACATCTCTGGCTGTGGTTAATGCACCGGCACATCCTTACAAATCCCATTCACATAATTCACCTATACACCACAGTACAGAACATATCCACTCACTACAAATGTATTATGTTTTCATTTATGTTACTTTACTGTCCATTATTTTTTATGAGAAAACATTCCTCGTGAGCAAAGATCCAATCTGACTTTTGGTGTTTCAGTGAGCAGTTTTTTGTCACTAAAAATCTCAACTTAATTTAATGATGTTGGGAACGTTATCAGGTACTTGCATTTCTTTAGCATCAGCAGAGAACTAACATCCACAATCTTTACAATTATGATGACAAAGATTATGCTATATTCAAACCCAGATCATTTTAACCATCTTATCATCTATTTTTATTGGAAAACACAAAACAATTAGATTTTACTGGGTTTTTTTATGCATCTTGAGGGCACTTCAAACTCCTCTAAACTCTTACGTTTACTGACTGTAATTGTCACCAATTAAGCAGTTACCTCAAGCATTTATAGTTTTATTATGTATATTTATTTTTATTGTCAGTTTGGCACCCAGTGTCTTTGACTATTTTACTTCTGTTGAAAGCTTCATTACGCACCGGCCACTATCACTACTGTTTGTGTTATTTTAAACAGTAATGAAATTATGCTCACCCAAAAACAGAGAAGCAATCAACTTCCTACTATAATACAGCTCTATTATCGAGTAACTGTTTTCCAGTACAATGTACTGTATGGATCAGTAAACATTGCCAACTAACCCTATAGGAAAAGCAACAGGAACAGGAATACATGGTCACCCTTAGATAATACCTCACGTTTACGCCACAGACCACGATCCTCACACTTTCCGAACAGAATCGACTGCATGTTTTAGAAGTGGGAAAGCAGTTCAGAGGAAGTGCATTCAGTTATTATTTTTTTAATACAGTGCCAAAAGTAAGCAGTGAGCTAAAGTCAACAGAATGTGCCAGGAGTAGAGTGTTTTATATCATTGGATTTCTGTTCACATTACACAACTTAATTTGGCTTTTAAAGTATACATGCTGTAGGCTAATGTTTGTTTTCAGCCCTAAAAGATAAACTGAAAATCTAGCACATGAATAATCAAGTGTACAGATGAGGACTGGATCCCCATCATGAACATGCCTCAGCAGTAGGCCAAGTCAATGGTGGGCATTAAGGTGAGACAGATGGAAAGTGGATAACACTTCCTTGAGGGTAAACAAGGTGTGATTGAGAATTCCTGCTTATATCTTATTGATGCAAGGGGCAGATAGAACCAATCGAATATTGTGCAAGATAAAAATGTGAGTTTATTACTCAAGTGGCTGAGAAGGACATGTTGTTGATTTGGCAAAGTGCTGTCAGGCGGCCTGCACTATTAATTTGCCCAGCAAAAGAGTGATGGGAAATCATTAAGTGTAAACGGAGGAGTCTGTCTTGTTTTTTTCTCCAGTGTGAGATCAAGCTTGGATGTCAAGTTGAAATGAAACTATCACATTGTGTACTGTAGCTGTAACATTGGTGAAGTCTGCCACTCATAGATGAGGCTTTATCAGCTCTACCATCAGAAGGAGAAGTCCTTGGCAATAAAACCTAATTTACACCTTGATGTCACATGAGACAAGTATATTACCCTGTTTAGTAAAGTTTTCTTTAAATAGACTGATGTGATCTATTTTGCAACATTTTCGACAATACAGTCTCCAATATAGACATTTTGGTTTTAAGCTATGGTATTTTGATCCTATAATATTATTGCATTCTAGTGAGGTGCATAAGCATTATATATGAGACCTAGGTCAAAATAAAACTAATAATAATAACCTCTTCAAAACTTTGGTTTGCTCCCTCCCAAACACTGACACACATGAGTTTACTTGGAAATGGTTTGACCCTTTGGATTTGCCTGGAGGTACGTAACGGAAAGTATTGGTACAAAACTACTGGTAAAAACCCAATGGTCAAAGCACTTCCAGGTCACTGCTTCACACGTTGTTTAGGAAACAAACCCTGAGCAATGAAGAGGTTTATGGAGTTTTGACTTTGGAATGTAAAGAAATCAAGTCAGGGCTCGGTTCTAGGCATGGTTTTCAAATAAGTGAAAGCGGAAGAGGATACTTTGTACAAGGGGATGATGATGAATAACATACTTAAGCTTGGCGAACTTAGCTAGTTAATTTCTCTACATTTGTTGTAAATCTATCGTTAACTGCAAAGTTATGCGGAATTCTGCAGTTGGTCGTGACCAAAATTATAGGTCCAGCAAATCTTTTTTCATTGAGAATCAGGGACTAAAGTTATAAAAGTTCTGTGCTTTTGTGCAGTAATTAGTGATGCCCAGCCCCAAGAAACACACTTGGTGTTTATTGTTTTTCCAACCTCATCTGTGATGAACAGTACATTCATCAAATTCCGTGCCCGTATTATTATTGTCCAAGCTAAGTTACTGGGTCTGTGCCAGCTTTTAGACTGAGGATTAACTGAAGCTGCATGAAGTTTTAAATGTTTTTAAAGAGGAAATCATGCAAAACTTATACTGGAAATTAGCTTAATAGGTCCCCTTTGAAATCAGGGACATCAGCCCTTCTTGTTGAGTTCCTGAAGTTAAATTTTTCCTCCATATATGCACAATTAATAAATTGAAAAATATGAAAAATACTTCTATAATAATTTGTGTGACCTCAATGAAATCCTCCTTTACTCACCAGGACCTCTCTTATGGTCAAAGGTAATCATATTTATTCCAATAAGGTTATAATCTGAACGTAGTATCACTAATTATAACTTTAGTGATCAATTTCAAGGAAACCAAAAAGTAGTCTAACCTTATTGACTGGTTTAGTTTTCACTATGTATATTTTATCTGTTATCAATTGTTCACCATGGAAATATCTACAAGTGTTAATAGCACTATGGGTTTTTGGATGATAATTGTTGGTTTATTACCATATCCTGTACATTTTATTATCTAAAATTGTATTCTTTATTGTATTAGAACTCAGACTTCTGTGTGTTATGCATTTGTGGAGTTTTTTATTTGTTTTAACTCTCTTGTGACCTCAAGATTTGACCGACCCACAAAGGTTGAAATGCCACAGACTCCCCAGTCTGTGAAAATAATGAACTCCTTCAAAGGTTTATGTGTTCATGTCATGGATTTATTTTGACAGAATTTTCCAACCAGAATGAATGAGATGAACTTACAAAGGCTCAACCTTCAATCTTTCACTGTATTTACCCAGGTCCAAATGGATGTGTTCAATGTGTGAACTGCTCTTGAATAAAATAAGATCCCCATATATTGATTGTGACCCGTTGTAGCCCAGTGTAGCCCTTCCTTTAAATAAGACTTTGCACAAAATATTTTAGCAGTTGACAGATTTACACTCAACAGACAATGAGTGTACTCAAATATGACATGTGTTGCACCTGTGAGCACACCTAGCAATACTAAGCATTGCAATGTGTTAAAAAATATATTTTTTTATCTGCTGGAGTCTAGACAGTGGCAAAGAATCTCCTGACAACAACGATATCTGATACTACAACTTATGCACACAATGCATTATCATAGACATGACGGGTTCACATTTTTACTGGAAAAGCAAACTTAGACTGAAGTCATATATTCTTTCATGACATCCAAAGTCAAAAAATATTTTCCACATTCTCTTCCAGGGCTACACCCAGGCTTCAATTTGTGGTCCGAATTAGGATTTTCTGATTCAAATAAAAAAAATGCAATAATCTAAACCCCACCTTTAAAATGTCACCTCAAAAACATGTACATAGGTAACATTGCAAATACTACTTCCATATTTCCATACAATCTAAAATCTCTAACAACACTGACCTGACCCAGCAGTTCGGGCAGCCCCAGCACTTGTCCCGTGAACACTCCCAAGCAGATCAGGATGGAGTTGAACTGGCCAATGGAACCTCTGATATGTCTTGGTGTAATCTCTCCCAGGTACATGGGAAGCACACTGAGAGCTATACCTGTCAGAAAAAACAACATATTAACATCCTGCGATAGATCTTGGGATGGAAGGGACAAAAGACAGATTTAGTTTTACTGGACTCACACTGCAGGAAGGAAACGCAATGACATCACTTTTTTTATGTGATGCCACTCCCCTCACCGCAAAGTGGAAAAACAAAATGTGTGGCTGCTATATATTATATGGGCAGAGCTGTGATACCAGGAGAAAGTATCACTCCATGTTTCTTTCATCTTCAACCTTCAGCAGTCTGTCAACACTTATGTCTGAATTGTTTCTGAAACTCAATCTGTATTGTTTCCCCACAGAAATGCACAAGCACAAACAAACCAACAGCATAAAGCTCGCACCGACTGTGTTCAACATTCAGCGACATTTGAGGAATGCTGACCTGCGGTCTGTGCATTCAAAATGACCAGCACTGAGAGAACAATTAATCCTCACACAGCTTTTTGCACAGTTCAATTTCCATGGTTTAGAAATTGTAAACAAGCGACCGTGATCTGCAGTGAATGTGTTTTTTCAGGTAACACACACCAATGCTTAGCTGGAAATCGTTCCGTTCCATACAACACTCAACTAATCCAGGCAATTAAGATGTTTGCCAGCTCAAATTACCTTTAAACTCTTTCTCCAGATATCCTAGTTCTTTAAACACAAGGACGGATTTGTTAATCTTGGAATCAAAACTGTGTTCAGCATTCATATGATGTGATTTTTGGTAACTACAATTTGATCTCCCTAAATAAGATTCTGCTGGTAACATAGTGACAGGGATGAATGATGTTAAGCCCTTCCTCCGTGACTAGAGACATGCATTCAGAAGGGAAAGTTAGACCTATAATCAGTCTTGCTGATCATCAGTGCATTCAGGTTTGTCAAGTAAACTATCCTTGACATCTTCCTACAAGACTTGTCCTTTTCCTTGGGGTGGGGTTATAAACCTACATAATTTTTTTAGGATTTGCACCTCTTCTTTTCCCATCATTTTATCCCTTTTGAAGCTGCAGATGAAAATTAAAATTTCTTTCTTTTTAAGGCTGTGTTGAGCAACAAGAAGATTTGTGTTAATTTATTTTGAGGCCTTCGGTATATGGCATTCATAGGAACACACATCCAATGTTAAGCACCCACAGACACAACTTAGTTTCTAGGTAACAGGTAAGTTTCTTTGTGTAACTTTTGATCAAACTTAATAATGCAGTCCAACATGCCGTCAAGGTCTGCACTTGATTTGTCTAATTGATGTTTCTCTCTAGTGGTTTGCTCTCACACTGACTTTTGTCTCTGACTCTGTGGTGAGTGCGTATGGATACTAACATACTTCTACAGCCTTATGAATGAAACACTTACCAGAGTCAACCCCGATTATGAAGCGGCCAATGATGAGCATCTCAAAAGATTTTGCCTTTTCACCCAGGGACAGCAACAGAGCAGCTATTATGGCAAAGCTGTTATTCAGCAGCAATGTTCCCTTTCTAAATTCAAAAAGATAAAGAAAAAATATTTTAAGAAAAGAGAATGTGGTAGGAAAAAGAAAGCAAACTTCAACAGAGAACATAGGCACAGATTTAAAATGATATTTTTTATCTTTGGAGACTGAATTGTGTTTCATATTAAATTGAGAGAATAATAATAAACGTCTACGTGTAAATATGACTACTACCCTCAGGTCAGAAAGTATTATTCTAAATTAATTATGATGTGGGTGCAATGCCACCCTAAGCACACCTTTCATGAGATACTCTATCGTGCGGTCCGACAGCCTTCATTCACTTATAACAACCATGTTACGAGTTCATTACTTGGTTGGATGTTTGATGTTGCTCTAAAATGGCGGACAAATACCACTAGTACAGTGCAGGTTAATAGTAAATATATGTATTCAAGTTCAGTTTGCCTGCATGCAAGACAAAAAGTGTTTATATCTGGCTTTCATATCTATACTTCCCAGTGCCTTTTGACCTACGCTCTGCTGTGACTGCAAACCAACAAAACCTGGTAAATATTTATGACACCACTTACCACTTAAAAACAAGGCCTAAATTCCCCTGTGAAACCTTTCAAAAGTATTACATCCATCATGTTTGTTGACTGAAGATCTCTTTACTCCTTCAGATAATTCCAAAACTGTCACACAGGTTAATTTACCAAAAAGCTTCTTCTTTTTTTTTATAGTTGCTTGATGTTTGGCTATCAACGAAAACCTGTAGCTTTTAAATTGCACTGTCCAATGAAAGCATCTGAGCATGGATATAATCACTGTCATAGCGTTTGATTGTGGAGACCAATACCAACACTTCTCTGTTTAGATGAAATGGAGGGTCCAGGTAAAATTTATGTCAAGTCAAGAAAGATGCAGGTAGTGTGGTAGTAATTGTAGCAGAAAATTTCAGCTCAGTTGGTTTGTTGGAGAATATGGGAACTTTCAGATTCTCCAATAAGAGGGATCAGTTCAAAGGAAATAGTTTTGGAAAAACGCTAATCTGCTTTCTTGCCAAGAGTTAGAATTCAAATATGAATCCAGCTGCTGAAAAATATTCTCAAGAGCAAATTATGTCTCTTTTCCACCTACTGGACTGGAGTGTGGAGCAGCATCTGCTCATATGCTATATCATGGATACAGCATATCAAATGAAAGCAGAATTTAAATTTTGGTCTAGTTTTTTTTTTATTTTTTTTTTTTACTTCTGTTTAATATTCAGTTAGATTTTACACTTTGACACAGATAAAATATTTGCAGACAATCTAGGAAAAGAGTAGTTGTCCATAATTTTAATATTGCGACATAAACACATGCTGGTAATGATTCACAAATAAGCTGCGATTTTAAAAATAATTTATTTCTCAGAACACCACCATAAAATTGAATCCAAACTAAACTATCACATGTTGCTCATTACATCACTCTGGTTAGAGACTGCAGATGAAACAGATATTTGCCTGCAATCTAAGATGTTTCCTGTCGAGCATTACATAACAGTTCCACTCCCTGCTCTGCACCATTGTAGGGACCACTGAGAATCTGAAGGGAACACCAGGTCTAGGTAAACCGAGCTCTAGTGTTTGGTAAGATGCGATTGGTCTATTGGTGAGGAATTTTTGCAGGATTCTTGTGTGGGGAACAGAGTTTTCTTGTCTAATGTTAGAAGTCCAGGTAAAATGTGTTTTCCTTTTGGTTGCTGGTGGAGTGGGGCAGTTAGCAGCAGTCTGATGACCAGTCTTCTCTTCTCACACTAAAGTACTCACTTCACACTTGAGAATGTCTCAAGAGCATTCTGGGTCTGGTCTGAATTGATGGCATCTTTACTCCATACTGTCTAAGGCAGAACATTTTAATATTTGTCAAAATTAGGTTCAGGGGCAAGATTTGTTCCGAACAGGTATAACCATACAAACACAACACTTAGCGAAGGCAGTTTACACACAGTCATTTAGACATCCCAATCTGAGTAATCATATGTGCAAATGCTTCCTCATGCTTGACCAAATTTACAAAAACTAAAACTTTTACTGTATATTTTAAGTTTAGTTTTGTAAGTACACAATATTGTTTCAGTTAGTTTTCTTTTTTTCTCATTCACAGGCAAACTTTCAAGGAATCAGTTAGTCACTCTTTGAAATACTTCAGATAACTCCATGTGTCCTCATCTGCTAATATATATTCAACTCTTCTTCCTGACATCTGAATTTCAAGAAATTGTGCAAAACTACCAGCTGGCCCACAGATGTCTAGCAGAGAATAGAGGAAGAATGAATAATACATTTCAGCCTAATCAACACAGTAAGGATCGCCACCCGAGAAATCCAAGGTGAATCTTAAGGGCATCTTAATTTTCTCAAATGACTCCGAATGAAAGCTTCATAAGTCTTTCCCTGCTCAGAGAGCAACAACCTCATCATTAGTGGATAATAGATTCTTTAGAACATATATTATTTTAGAGCACTGAGGTGATTTTGTCAGTGTGTCCATGTGGGGTAGTAGGACGCAAAGCTCTGCAGCACTGCCACAAGGTACGCCGAAACCAGAGAAAATCACACTGGCAGCAAGATTTGATCTCACAGTCAAGAAAAAGTTGTAAAACCACTGCGGCTCTGCCTGAAGCACATTCTTTTTCCTCCAACAACCCCAGACATTTATGTTTGTTGAAACTACGTATGACCACTATGTCACTTTGTCTAGTAAAATTACTGAAATATTTGATCCATTAAAGGTCATTTTACATTAAGGAGAATCTATTGGCAGAAAAAGAATGTAATATAGGTACGTGAATAGCCGAGAACGCACAAACCAACCACTGGCTCTGGATAGTGTCTTTTGCATTTTTTGCAAATTTCACGGCCACAGTAGTTTCTCCTACACGCTTGAAAGGCTAAGGGAGCATTGTAGTTTCAGCCACACCATGAAAAATGAAGGTACAGTATGTCATATTGGAATGATGGTTAATCTTTGTGAGTGTTTGCACTAAGCCAAGATAATTAAAAGGGTAACCGTGTAGTGTTTCTCCTGGAAGATTTCTTTCACACATGGTAGTTAAGCACATCCAATTTGACAGGTCTACACAAGACTAGTTTTGCCAGACCATGAGTGCCAGTTTGGCCCTGACCTCTGTTGGCTGACTCTTATTTTAGAGTGAGTACAAAAAAGCTTACTACAGTTATATATCTCAAGATGAACAAACTATTATAATGATTTGGAAATACTTTCTGATTATGTCAAAATCTAACAGTGTTTTTGCTGTCAAATCAAGAGATGACAACTACAAATAATGAATATTAATTAATAATTGATGACATTTTTTGGTCAGTTTTTAGCAGCAACCTAATGTGTAATCAATGTGAAAATCAGGCTAATGTTGGTGCTACACTGAGTGACAAACAAACATTATAAATGATTGGTAAATTGGTAAATACTGTTAACGGTATGTACAATGAGATAATTGCATGATGTACACTTCTGTGTTATATGAACAAGACTTGATTGAAGCGCAAGTGAGTCAACTCACCTTCCCAGTACTCTGATGATTGAAGAGACAGACAGTGCTCCAAGAAGGCCTCCAATAGCAAATATAGACACTGTGATGGACCAGAGGAGGGTGGCTGTCTCTGCTGCAATAGGCTCCCCATATCTCTCAATCCATGTCTTATTGTAGAAAGCTTTAATGTACTGCAGTAAGAGAGACATGGGAGAAAGACACCATTTCAAATTCATCATTCAACATTTGAAAGGTAAGGGATTCCATGGCTCTCATTTTAAATAAAACTTTAACAATTTTAAAGGCAAAACATACGGTAATCTACATACCCTATACACAAAAATGTAGTTCCACTATGACAACTCAAAACACGAGACTGGAACCTGCCATTGTGCAGTACATTTACTTGTGTAAATAGGCTTCATAATCCAAACTAATCTAAAAGAGTTGCCTAGTTATAAATATAAAATATTACTGATAGAAAAGGAATACTAAATTGTCTGAGCTCATTTGCTTTTTTCAGAAATGGAGGATGATTGACTTATATCTGTCTATGTACTGTATACTGCTGTATACAGTCCCTCTGCCTGTGAAAATAGTTTTTATAGCAGGAGATCATTTTCGGCGTTTGACATTAATATAAATCGTTGTCAAATCCTGTGATGACTGTATTTCCTTAATTGCATACATTCACAATTTGCATTAACGAAGTGAATTGGTTGAAGTAATGATAGTTAGTAATGAATAGAGCTTTTGAAATTATTGTCACAAAGTACTCAAGCGTTGACTGAAGTGTCCTTAACATGATGAATGTGTCAGTTCAAAACGATGATGATGATTGATAATTTTGCGACCCATGTTGTGCTGTCTTTGTTGGCAGCTTATGGTTTCTTAAATGAAAATCGCATGAATAATTGTAGTGCCAAAGAAAGCAGTAAACTCGCAAACCAAGAGATTAAAAAATGGATGCATAGTAAAGAGCATTTCCTGTTTGTGCTTCTGTGGTGTCACTGGTAACAGCCTTTTTCTGTGTCCACTATTGGCTCAGAGTGGTAGAGCTGTCCTTGCAAGGGTCAGGCATAACAGCTGTGAATGCCTAGTTTTTTTGGCATTAGACTGAAAAGTTAACTTTATGACATTAATGTGACTTAAGAGTTCTGGAAACATAAAAAAAAGGGGGGCTCACACGCTACACTGGTTTCTACAGGGATTTCATTATGTTTCTCCCTATTTTCATAGCAATTCATGCAGCCAACTCACATGGAACAGATTAATAATTACCAAGGATCTGACTTCACTCTCTGCAAGTATACACCCTATGTCAGTACTGTATGTACTGTATGTCAGTACCCTATGTACTAAAATTTCCCTCCAATTTCCTGGATTTAAGCAAACACATATCAACTAAAATGTATTCCTATACTATAATATAATTATTTAATATACAATGACATATGATATATGTTATATTAATATAATTCATTTTATATAATATTTAATTAATGTGTTTTCATGGACAAGAAACCAGGTTACCTTACTACTTACCTACTTAAATAGACCTATAGTCTATAGTTTCAGTTTAGTTGCACTTATAAGTCAATTATTTTCTTTTTTCCATTTCTCCACTGCTGTCACAGCTTTCCCTGTATGAACTCTTCTTCAGGTACATGTGAAAAAGCTCATTAGAAACCCAGCTAAGTTCACTGGCTGGGTAAATCCAGTTTCTCTACTCCCCTACCCCAACTACAGAAAGCAGGTTTTTCACACAGGATGTTTTAAAAAACAGATAGTCACAGCAGGAAGAAAATATTTACTCTAAAACAAGTAGAAGTTTGCCAACTGTCCTATATTTATTGTCTCACAATTCCAGAGCTACAAGTTTATTATAATTTGATGACCATGCATTTTTAACACTCCTTTTAATATTCCTTTGCCAACTAGAGCTCCGCAACATTTTAAGATTGGCTCACTGTAGGAAGAAACTATTGTGGGATATTTTTTATAGAGGTTTATTAACTGTTTTGTAAATGAAGCATGGACAGTTTCTGTTTCCATTGATGATTTTGGTGAACCTTAATTTTAATATTCTTGCAGAGGGGTTGAAAGCAGATGATCTCTACATTCTGGTGTAGCTGGCAAACATACAATAAAAGATGCTTTTTTATTTATTTTGTAGGAATTTTGTAAACACAGCAGGAGCAGTGGTGGATCCCCACAGTGATGGAGAGGAGCCAGCGCCAGCTTAATGACCAGCTTGTGTTCCTAATGAGCAGGAGCTATGAAGGAGAATAAATAGCAGTTAGCTGCTCAACATACACATAAACTGAAAAATTAACTGCATAAGCTGGGCCTGTTATAGGAGCAATTCAATTAAGGAGAAATTATTTGGCTGTAGATTAGTGGAAGTTAGCTGCAGATGGGGATTTTGTGCAAACAAAAGTTAAATTAGTAAAAACAAGCCCTGTCTTTGATCATTTAAAGGTTGCAGTGGATAATGAACATTTTTACCAACTGAACTGAGAGTGTGTGTTGATGAAATACTTTATAGTAGTGTATTCTAACATCAAATTTTCAGTCTTAAACAATTCAATTATTCCCATGCATTGATGGCACATGACCAAATTGGTAAAACTGAAGAGTTGGTGAATTAGTGGATTAGTTTAAGAAATACACCTTGATTGATTTATCTGCTGGTCATGGCAGACTTTAAGCACATACTAAACCCCATATTACCCTTCAGGAATATGGCAAATATTGTTAATGTCATTACATCATTATTTATGGCTCAAACTGGTAGATTCATTTTTGAATTAATTTAACTGTGTGATAGTTTAATTCTTTTTTATTTTCTAATTTCTAAAATTGTACATTTTACTGTGTGTTGATAATTGTAAAAATCAGTCATTTAACATCAAGTGTCGCTGAACAAAGAACATCTGTGTTCACAATAAAAGTATGATTAAATAAAAGAATAAACACCTTCCTCCTGCAGCTATTGGAGTTTCCTAATATGCCTCTTAGGAGTGGGCAGGAGCCACTCGTTAACATGTCTTGAGCTACGATGCTTTTGGGAAACACCTATTAAGCCTGAGAAGGTTTGTAAAATGGATTTTAATATGATTTTAGTGTTAAGATTATTTTGGGGAAATTAGGCCCATGTTGTAAGGGATAAGGCTAAGAAAAGAGTGACTGAGAAGAAGTGAAGCTAGCAGGTTGATGGTGCAGTGTGAGAGTCAGCCATTTAGGCACAAGTAGCCTGTTTCAGTCCAAGCTGTCTGTGAAAGTGTTAGACTCAAGATGAACAGAAAATGTAGGTTGATTATCAAGGCATTAGGCAGTTTGCACACTTACAGCTTCATGAAGCTTTAACTGCCCATAAAAAGGAAATTTAGTCTGAGAGGTCTGAACAGTGTTTACACATAATAATCCACTAAACCACTTGGGGGCTGCTACACCAGGTGCTGCAGAGCAGAAATAGGTGTAATTTACAGAAACAAGCCCGTTATTGCCCCTTTTCAGAAATAATTAAAGGCCAGAAAGTTAGGGCCAAAGGAAAATGGACAGTCTTACCAAGGCCACTTGGTTTGTCAGTGGGGACATATTAGCACTGAAGTGCTAGTGATGCATTGGTTATTTGTGTTTATGACCATGGGCTGAATTCTAATAGAGGTAATCTTTTGTGAAGCTGTATTTTTCTGTTATTCACCTACTGCTGGTGATGGGTTAAGGCCAAATGGTAGATAATGGGCATTACAATGTACTGCTCTCTACTCTCCTGCACTGTAAATAATGTATATCACAGCATAAGAGAAAATCTGAACTGATCCCGATCCCTGGAGATCACGCAATTAGTCTCAGTTCCAGACCTATCTTCACAATGCTCTGCCATCCCTAGAGAAAGGTCTGCATACATTAACGTTCTGGTTTTAGGGGAAAATGTTCTCACTTGTTTAAACCAATCTCAATCGTCTGTGGATGGAATTGGTATTGTATAAGGATGCATTCTTGCAAAATTGTGTCAGGAAATTAAAATTTCCCCCGAAAGGAAAGGTAAAAATTGCTAATCCAATTTAGGGTTAGGGTAATTTGCCATTTTCAAGTTTCAAATTGCAGGTTGTTGTTTATGTTTCCTGTAGTGATGCGTCTAGCACGCTGCATTAACATGTTTAACGTTGTGAAATGGTTAAAGTTTGGTTAGGCAACAAACCTACTTGGATTTCATAAGTAAGTCAACAATGACTTTTTGTTTCACATGGGACACAGACAGCAGTCTCCTGGGTGAAAGTCCTATGTTTGTTTGACCTATCCATCCTCCACAACCTCCTCACTCTAATGTCAGTATTCGATGACCTGGGAATGAGAACAGGCTGGAAATAGTCAGCCAATGGCTGACGTACCAACAGCCTACTTTCTGTGAGCTACAAAATTATCGATGAGACTCACAGGTCGGAGCACCCAGGTTTCCTCTCTTTTCCTTTCATCACTTACTCAAGTCACCTCACCAATCATGGCTGGCATTGTGATGCCTGGTTTGCTCAACTCATACACACAAGACCTAATTAAAAGAAGATCCCCACTGCATTGTTCTCTCACAGTTCAATTAAAGTAGTGGTAAAGGTTTTTTTTTAAAGACGGTTTTCTAGACAGTATGTCTTACTGTGGAAACACACAATAAACAGTGTGGTATAATGAATCAATACACTGTAAAACCCTCCAGTTTCACACATTCAAGAAGAATCCCAGTGTAGCGTATCTTTTCCCGGTTAACTTCTTGACTGCCATTTAAAGTATTAAAGGCTTTAGAGACCCAATCTCTGTGTGACACTGTGACCTTCCTTCATTTTCATTTTCATCAAGTCAAATTAGCTTTCAAAAATGTGAGACTAATACCAGCCAGGATTAAAAAAAACAATTAAAAAAAGAAGCAAAATTAAATAACCCGATGCCCCTAACTTTTTCCTTAAACCAGTCCAACAAACCAGTGATGACAGGGTTATATAATGTCTTATAATAATTATATTATTCAAATGGTTAATTATTTCTAGTATGTTGGCATTATAGTCTGTATAAACGTACAGTTCCAGTGCCAACACAAGTTCCTAGTACTGAACCAATTCCATTGAAGAATTCCAAGTACTTGGAATTCTTATGTTTTTACTTCAATGTGAGACTGTTAGGGGCAAATGGGGTCCCATATGAGGACAACATTTTAGCCAAAGTTAGAACAGTTTTGGTTGTTTCACATGAGAGATTACTGTGTTTTTTGTTTTTGGCTGGGGAGCATGTCTATGTTCCCTGGGTCCTATGTTCCCCGCTTTGTATGGGCCCGGGGAACCCTAACCCTAACC